CGCTGCAGGCCGTGCCCGGCGGCGCCCCGACGGGGGAGGCGGATGAAGCAGGTGCCTTTCGGCTGCAGCCTCGCCTCGCCTCGCCACCCAGCCTTCCCCTCGTGTCCCGCACCTTTCCCCTTCGCGCCACCCACCCCTTCCTGTCCCCTCTGTCCCTCCCGTTTGTCCCCAGAACCCGCCTCTGGGCCCCTTCGGAGCCCCAAACCCGCTCAGCGCCCCGGGGGATTTCTCTAGCCTCCCTGACACCCGCCTCCGCCTTCTCCTTCACCTTGTACTTTACACTGGGCTGCTGGGCGTCCCCTCGGGATGGGAGAAGGCGGCGTTGCTCAGAGAGTTGTGTGGAAAATGTTTTGGCTTGTTTGTTTGTTTGTTTTTTCTTCTCATGTTTGAAATAAGTTGGTTTTGAGAAGGTTGGTGTTTTTTCTGTTTGTAGAACTTATACACAACACAGCGTTTCTTCTTTGAATGCAGGTGATTCACCAAATGACCAAAAAAGCCCTGAAGAGGGGCCTGAGAAGAAAAAAGTAAAGAAGTCTGAAGCCTTGAACATCAGAGGTACAGCATGGGAGTATACTGCTTATATTGTATTAACTTTAAACACTTTCTGGTTTTCACTTCAGAGTTTTTTTGTTTTTTTTTTTTTAAGTACCATTTAAGAATTTGAGCAAAAGCCCAGGACTCTTGTATGTATATAAACAGTTATCTTTAGCAAAAAGATTTTGATTGTATGAAATAACATTGATAATAACAAAATAATGTGATGCTGATTTGGCTCCAACTGTGCTCATATTTTGGTTTTAATTCTGTAGAAGAGTGCAGCTGAACTTTTTGGAAAGGAGGCAAAGCCTACTGCACTAAGCTCAAGTCACTAGAGGCTTTATAGGAAGGTAAAGCAGGTAGGTATGAGGCACTTCTTTGAGTGTCACTGCTGTCATAGTTGAGCAGTTTTCAACTTCCAAATGCTTTTGGGCAGAAAACAGAATTTCTTGAAATTCTGAGGTTGACAATATTTTGTTGTCAGCACAGAGAAGAAGGTGCTGAAACTAGTGCTTCAGCACGGTGTTTTTCCAGGTCCTTGAACTGTGAACCTCTGCCTGAGAGAGTCTGTGATGCGATCAGCCGTTCTTAGGTTGTAATTCTGCAGGTCTCTCGGTATCTGTGGAGTGAAACAGGATAGCTATTTTAGGAATAAATTAACCAAGCGTCTTTCTCCCTCTCTCTATAGGTGTTTATATGCTTGCATGTTTGCATACCTATTCTGAGCCAAAAGCAGATACCTGAGTATGTTAGACATTGAGTTTGACCCCAAGGAAAGGGCTGTCAGAAAGCTGAAACAGAATGGTAGTTTCAGGCTTCTTATGGTCACTTATCAGCATCTGATATTCCTCCAAAGTCCTGTAAATTGACATCACGTGAATTCAGCTTAAGAGGTTGACATGGCTGCCAGGCACCTGTTTGGTTTTTTTTCTGGTGTGTGTCTGTCTACCTGTCTTTCAAAAGTGTTTTCAGAGTTGTCTATAAGGGAAGACACTTTGGAAATCAAACCATGTGCTAGAGTCATAATACTTCCCTGAACATCTAGAAATTGGTATCACTGGATATTATGGCATTATAGTGGTAAGATTATTGGAGCAGGAAAAGAAAACTCACTTTCAGGAATGGAGGAGAGAAGAAACTGATGAGTATATTTTAGAGCAGGCCTTACTTGCCCGAACGGTAGTGCTTAGGCATAACGATGCTGGGAACTTTAAGAAATGATTGAAGGATAAGGAGTTTTGTGTCAGTTACTTTAAGATACCTGTCGTCTTTGCTTTTTAAAAAGAGGATTTTTTTTTAAGTGCTACTTTAGTATGTCATCTTTGCAAAATCTGTTTTTATTGTCCTTACAAATATTCCTTGCTTTTGTAGCCAGTGCTACAGATATGTGTTTTTAAAATTCTGTCTCAAATCTATGTTTTTCTTTTGAAGCGAGTTACATAGCTATACTTACTTCATAATTGCTTGGCAAAAAATTCTGTACATCATAGAATTGGAGCCTCCCTGAAAAACATGGCTGCACAAAATGGATTGGCAGAGGAACGGCTTCCTTGATTTTAAAAGTGGTAGGAACAGGAATTCATACATTCTGCCTGACAAGATTAATTATTGTAGTGTAAAATTACTCCTTTTACTTGAGCATATGCAGATTAATTCAGACTTTCCAACACAAGCTGTTGGAAACCTACCAGTGTTACCTATGGTCTTACCACACTGCTTTATTTAATTTAATAAAAATTCATAATCAGTTCTGTCTTACAGCCATAGCTTTTGGGGATCAACAGGGAAATGGGTTCATTTCTATCTAGGCCCTCATTATGTGATGTGTAACCAGGACGTACATGTTAATGGTGTTAGTAATGTAAAATAAGCATTTTCCAAATTCTGTATTCTCAATTCATAATTAATCAACTTTTTTCTTAATTCAAAAGAAGACTTTCTGAAGCACTTCCCTGTTCTTTTTAAGCTGTGCTCTCTAGTTAGTTGCCTTGGCAATTGCATCCTGCCTGTCCCTCTTGTTAGTGCAATAGCTGATAGCCCATGCTGAATCAGGATTATTTGTAAATGAAAAGGAAACACTGCAACACTGTTAGGAGGAGTAAAACCCTGTGGGAGTCTGCCAAATGGGGCAGAACATGCCTTACGCCAGCAGAAAGAGCTGGACTCACTGGAAGCTTGTACTTTCTTATCTGACCCAAGTGATTCAGAGGAACTCCAGTGGCTATTGCCTTCACTTCTCATACAGAAGATCCATGTTCATGCACAGAGCTGGCAAGTAACAGCAGCACAGGCACAGCTCTAGGTGTAATCCAGTGTCCAGCATCACCAAACAGTCAAAACTCTTTGCTGTGTTGTTAATGAGTTTTGGAAGGAGCCTTTTACAACTTCTCCAGCCCAGTGGAAGTGATTAAATTGGAATGAAGCTCTTGAAAGTGCTTGTCAAAGGGATGTTAGAAGGAGGTGGACCATTTTATTCTCTGACAGGCTTTGAATAACAAGTATTGGCAAAGAAATTAACTTCATATATTTAGAGATGTAATGAATTAGGCATGGGTTGGAATGAAATCTGAGTCTGAACAGTAAAGACTGAGAGAACTGGAGTGCATTTGAGCAATGATGGGAAGAAGGAAGATTATGTAAAGTAGTAAAAAAAAAAAAAAAGGGAGTTCTTAGATTATCACAGCTTTATAGCAAGAAGACTACTTTGGTCATTGTAGTTGAAAGGGCAGCTAAAAATGTGTTATTACAAGAACCTGTTCTGTGTCATTACCATTTGTGCAGAAACATGTCTACAGATGTAGAAAGTGGTACCCATCATTCCTCTCAATTTAGAGTAATCCAGGCACATATTAAACCGTGTCATCTGTGTGACTGAATCTCAAACCAGATTCTGATTTTTTGGGGGTCTGAGAGTCTAGTGTTGGTGGAACAGGGTTTAATATGACTAGTAATCAAGCTTGATCCAAAAATTGGAGTTTGAAGGCATTTGGAGCCATAGGAATGGGCTTAGGTTTCACTTAGGTAACTTTTCAGATTTCAACAGTGTCATAGAAGTGATGGAGGAGAATAACTGTTACTGGGGGTGGTCTGTGGCTTTCTTAGCTTCCAGGGTAGAATGGGTAGATTTAGTCATCATTTTTTAATTGAGAATTGAGATTTAATGTGCCAGGATCTCTTAATAATCTGCAGGCATTTAAGCAAACACATTTTAGGTTGCCATGGCATTGCAGTTGGACCGCAGTTGCCAGCATACCCTACATGTTTAATAATGCATCCCACTTAAGCAGCTGTGGTTCAGAGTCAGTATTTCCCTTGCTGTTTTGTTCTGAAAACTGTTATTGAAAACTCCAGGTATGATGTTAGTGCCTGGAATAATGCATTTTTCATGTCAAGTAGAACAGACTTGAAAAATGCAGCATTACTCTCCTCCCATCCCCCAAAAAATGCCACCCCTAATGGAAATTGTGCCATTTGTTTCAGGTGTTCTTTTGCATGTTATGGGAGATGCACTGGGATCTGTGGTCGTGGTAGTTGCTGCTACAATCTTCCATGTACTTCCTCTGGGGAATGCTCCATGTAATTGGCAGTGCTACATCGATCCAAGCCTGACAATAATTATGGTGTTCATCATCTTGTCTTCTGCATTCCCACTTATCAAGGAGACTTCAATTATTTTGTTGCAGATGGTTCCCAAAGGTGTTAATATGCAACTACTGAGTAAGTAAAATTTGTTGTTGAAATGCTATTAATTTTAATGATATGCTTCAATGCATATGTTATTTCTGGAATGACATGTTTGGATTATTTACTCATAATAGCTCTAAATTCTCAAGAACTGTGAGGAATAGTCACATGCCTGTGTCTTAGCAACATGAATCAAATCTCTGTGGATTAGTTAAAGCATGTATTTTGAGAATGTGGTACTCCAACAATACATCAAAAATACCAGGTCTTGAGCTGTTAATGCTTTGTGTGGGGTGTTTGTGAAAGAAACAATATTGAATTTACAATATTTTCCAACCCTGCAGCAGCTTCTTCCGAAAGGCTTCCAAAACAGCTTAGAAATTTCCATTGAGGTTGGTTAATTTTGTAGCATTGTTCACACGGGTTAATTGTGGGGTAGCCCTGGCTACTTCTAGAATTCCACCGTGCTCAGGACTAAGGAAACCCGAAGATGTGGGTTTGGCCAAGGAAGTGGTGCTCTAACGTTGCTTCTGTGAACAGCTGGTAAATTGCCATTAGGGAGCCTGAGGGACAGGTGAACCCGAAAGGAGAGGTGGCCTGCTCCTGTGGTCGTCTGGAGGCTGAATTGAAGGCAGCTGCGAGCAGACGTATTTTACTAAGCACAACTCTTTAAAGAGATAGTTCAGAGACTGCTGCTTTTGGATAGGGCTCTTAATGAGAAAGTTAGGACACCAAAGCCTCTAACACCTTTCTCTTATGTCTTCCAGCTGACAGACTAGCTCGTGTACCAGGGGTTAGCAGCCTTCATGAGGTGCATGTTTGGGAGCTTGCAGGTGGGAAGAATATCGCTACTCTTCATATCAAGTGCCAAACCCCTACTGATTACCAAGATGCTGCTTATAAAATACGGAAGGTTTTCCACGAAGCAGGGATCCATTCTGTGACCATCCAGCCCGAGTACATTGACCACAAGACCTCCCTGCTACTGTGCAGCTCACCCTGCATCTCAAAAGCTTGTGACTCTCAGCTGTGCTGCAGTCAGCGGGAGCCCACCCTTGCTAAAACTAATGGCTATACTGAGAAAAATGATAGTTACCTTTCTGCACTGCATAAAGACAATGGTTCAAGTAAAAATGATGTTGAAATCCCTATCGAGTATCCACTGGCAGAGAATAGTGTTAAAAATGTAAAAAATTGTGACAGATCTGATGGCAAATCACAGTTGAGCAGTACCCGACTTTAGGCAATTCCCTCTACTCTGCATTATGTTTTCATAGAACAAACATATCCTGGTTGGGAAAGGGGTCATTGGTGGTTGTAGCTGAAGTTGATGTGGTAAAAAGAACCTGTGCTTTAGCTGTAAACCAAAATACACCTAAAACCCCCTTGTATCTGAAATAAGGATTAATATTTCTACAAAGGGTATTGCATTCATCTAAGATTTTTCTGATACAGCCTAACTCAATTCCGTACCAAACTACGTGCGACTTTCTGTTGTTAGAGTGGATGGGGTGTATTGCTGTCTGCACTGATGCTTGCAGTTAACGGCCAGTGGCACTGGGAATGAAACTCTGGCCTTTTCTGCTGTAGCAAGCTGTTTCCTGAAAGCCCTGTGGCCAGTTAATGATTGTACTGGGCTGAAGTACTGTATATTTATAAAGGGCTTCAGTAGAGATGCTTTACTGATCATTAAAACCCATTTTTGCATAGACAGTTCATGTTTAACAGTAACGTTTGTGCTTCTGGCCAGTGGGATTTGTGCATGAAATTAAGAGTCTCTAAGGGGGAGGGGAAGCACTCAGGAATTTTTACTTGCATTGTTTTCTTGATTGACTCCTGTATTTAGGGACAGAGCAGAAGCTGGTCTTGCTTCTTTACTAGTAATACTGGAGTCCTAGCCTAATCACAGATAAGTATGCTGAAGGATAGACTACTTGCCATGAAGGCAAGGACATAATAATGTTGTCTGTACTGATCCTAGCAAATGGAAATACAAGCTGTCATCCAGTTAACTTTTCTCTTATTCACTGCTGTGATTGTACAACTCAGTCTTTTTTATTTTTATTTTCCCTCCTGACAACAGAAGTTATATTAGCCATGGTCTTAATTCATCATTGTGCAGGATGATTGCAGTATCTCTAACATTGTCTGTCATTATTCATGCTGAATAAATAAGCTAATGTGTTTATTATGAATAGTTAAAATTCTGCAGATCTATTATTAAGACATAATTTAATATTGTATTAATTAAGAAAGTCCCTTTGAAGTTTTATATGCAGTATTATCGCTTAGAGGGAGCTCTAAAAAAACCTACAGGGTTTTTTTCCTGGTTTAGTTTCAAATATTTCTTGTTGGTTTGTTTTAAAGGTCTAAGCCCTTCCCTTTGCCCTGCCCCTCCTCTCCCTGCCCAGAGGTGTATCTCAAAGTCTGTTTGGTGAAGCAGTCCCATTATCTTTTTGCTGCTTGCTCTTTCTGAAGGCATGCAAGAATGCTCTAATGAAAATAAGATGACATGCCCTGTCACCAGTGCTGAATTTAGGTCAGGTATGTTCTCCAGGTTTCTGGGAGAGGAGAGCCACTACCTAATGCACACTGAGTGTAGCTCTTAGCCTCACTGGCTGTGCAGATCAGATCCAGAAGCTTTCAAGTACACACTGTTGTCAGAAGCAGCCTTTCAACGGTCTGTGTGGCCTGGGCAGGCTATATTATTCATTTATTCATGGGGACACCTTTATAAAATAGTGGTGTCTTTACCTCTGACACCTTAACAGAAAGGGCAAATTGATTTCCTGCCTGGACTGGGAAAATACCAAGACCTCCTTGTAAGGCTGGCTTGAAAGCAACCAACTCCTTATTAGTAAGGATGATTACATTAAATGAATGAATATTAAAACACACAGCAGGATATTTTGCTGCTTGGAAAATGGTATTTACGGAAGCAGTGATTGCAATCTAAATAGCATGTTTCTAGATCTGTAGTTACCCCTTCTGAACAGGTTCTTGGGTGAATTAATATATTTGATAGACTTTTATTGTAGGTTTGTATTATATAAATTAAACTATGTGTTAGTATAATTAAAAGCTTGATCCTCCAGTCTGTTTGATTCTGTTGTCAGCAGCAGAGGTGAAAGCAGCAGGATCTTGTTTAGCAGTTATTACACGAATTAATGTAAATCAGGAAACATTTTAAGAATTACTCTTTTAAAAGTGTGTGGCATGAAGTAAGATGGCCCTCTGTTCTTTTTGTCTTAAACATCATCATCATCAATGACAATAAAATGTCGAGGTTTAGATGTAAATAACAAATATATTTATAGGTTTTTTTGAGAACTGGAATAGAAGGCTCCCAAAATAACAACAAAGTCTATAGGAGGACTTGCTATGCAGATATCCTCTAAAACAATCACTCTTTCATAATTACACATTTGTGTCTTAAGTCAGGTAATTTCTTTTATATGTACACTTTATTAAATGGTTGAAGGATGAAATGGCAGTATTGTTGTGTCTGGAATTAGAGAAAACTAGTATCTGTAATGTTGGGGCATTTGACAAAATGGACCATCTTCTTTATCCTTCCAGTGTTTGTTAAAACTGTGCTTATCTATTTTTTTTTTTAAGCTTTTAAAAGTGTTGTAACCTGAAAATACAATGAAGTAACATTCTTAAACATTTTTTCTTGTCTGATTGTACTGTAATTGTTGCCTGTGAATAAATAGGAAAATACCAGGGATTATAGAAATCTTCAGGTATAGAAAACAAGCAGATTTTAAATTTGCTTTACTATTTAAGCAAGCAGAACCAACAGAGCTATGTTATTGATGAGATGAACCTTGCTTTTTCTGTGTACAGACTTTCCGGGTATTCAGCTAACATTTCTGACCCGATATCCTTGCCTTCCTTTGAGTCCTACAACAAAATCTTTTCCTCCTCTGTTTTAAGTGTGTCACAACTAGGCTGTACTAGGTGGCCCATCTACTTCTGTAGAAGACTCCGTTCCAATCAGCATGTATTTCATATTGGCTGATTTTTCTTCAGTTCTTGACGTATCTCTTTTAATTTAATTCTCTTGAAGTATGCTTACCTCATTTTGAAATACAGAATATTTCAGTGTTTGCCCTTACCTGTGGGCACTTGTTCTAAATTCAGTTTTGTAGCATATGGCACTGTCATAAAATCTCTTTTCTGGCCTCTTTAGCTTAATTGCTTTTTTTCCCTCCAATTCAGTAACATAAAATTTCTGGTGATTACAGGTTGATTGTGCTACTCTGTCCTCTTCAAGTACTTCCTTATGATTGGGTTCTCTTGCAGTAGTTGCCCCTATTTGTCCATCGCTGTCTGTAGCAAAGGAAATCTGCTTAAAATACAGGAGACTTTCAACTGGTTATCCAGCTTATGTGGTGTTCTGGTCCACAACCAGTCATACATATGACCTACTTGTACAACCATGAAACATTTGCTAGCCTTGCCATATAGTTTTGGAGTAAAAGTGAGATTAGGAATAAATTAACAGTAAATACTGGCCTTCATTGGTCATGGGCCTTTTCTTAAAGTGAATAATCTTTTTGTCACCTTTTCATATGTGCAAAATGTGCCAATTTGATTGTTAATTTTTCCTTCTTCTCTAACTCTCTAAATGCAGGTCTTGCCTTTGTTCTTCTATGTAAAGAAAAATAATTAATGCTATTTTTAGGAGTATTGCCTTTGTTTTACCAAGTCTTCAGTTGGCTTCCTTTTCCTTGTGCTCTTTATGATAATTTTTTGGACTTGTAGTGCAACCGTGATTTTTTCCTTTTAATGTTTTTCCTATTCTTTGTCTCCACAATAAAAGTGGTATGGTTTTGCTAGCCTCCTGGTCATGGTAATGTACCTATAATACCATTTAGAAATACCTCTTTTATACACTGGTTTAATTTTTGCACTCCATTTTATTCAAATTCACCCTCTTTCTGGTTTTGCTATGTGATATGCTTTACCATTTCAAACCAATTTTTGAACTTGTTTAGTCCTTCCTATTCTTTCCCCCTTCCCTACCTGTTTATAATGCTTACTGTCCTGAATGCTCCCTTTTATTCTGAACTTTGAAGGGAATATGCCAGCATCCACATTTCCCCTGATGTGAAGTTCATCACCCAGGGTCTATAGATGGCTTGATGTGAGCTGTTCCAAGGACTAATATATTTCCTGTCATCTGTGTAGAAGTGTTGTCTAAGTAGTCATCCTGAGATATAAATATATATATATTTATATATACTTAAATTCTTTATAAACACTCCACCTGAACCAACTTTTTCAAGAAGGTTGGTTTCTTAACCTGAAAAGGTATAATGAAATCAGTAGCGTTCATTAGTCATTCATTGACACCTTAGGGGAAAGCTTGGATCACTAATTGGAAGGCAGGTAAAAGGGATGTTTCTGAAAGGGTAATACAAAAGCTGCGAAGATTTCTATAGGTTCTACTACTTACTCTGCTGTACAGTGGAAGCACTTTCTATGTTAAATACATTATTTGAACAGTGATACCTTGATATTAGGATGTCACTGTATAAGATTGTTACATTTATGGAGTTGTGTTGCTTAAAAGTTTCCTCCGGTTTTTCTGTTCATTATGTGATTTAAATAATGTGCCAAAATGTAATTTCCATGTTTGCTGAATCAATGAATTGTAAATCTCACTGTGGTTTTATTAACTATTAGTGAAAAATTACTTAAAGTTTTATGTACAGTTATATTTTTTTTTTCAAAATGAAGTCTGAATGTCTTGTAAATAAAGTGTATTTTTAAATAAACCTGTTCTGAGCTTGATGTATGTTGGCAGTAAGGAGCTTGTGTCAGTTTGGATAATTTTAAGACCTTTGCATGAGTCAAGTCTGTTCTTAACCTGTGAGCTGGTTAATACTGTAAATTTTTTTAGTATTTGGAAGAAAAGGGGACAGACACTCAAAAGTTTTTCCTCTGCAAGCATCCTAGCATTGCCTAACCTGGGAGTGAATTCAGAGCCTGTAACTCCCGGGTACCAGACAAGCATCTTGGCTGCAACTGGATGGTCTCTTCACAGAACATGGGTGCTGTTTCACTACCCAGCTCTGCTAGGTTATTCCTGCTCATTTGGTGATTAGCTTCTACTCAACAACCCTCCTGCCTTCTCTGTCTTCAAGTGCACATCTCTGCGTGTGTGAAGATGTTGCTGCATGGAGAAAGTAGACTCTATATGTAACATCAGGGTCAGGAGAGCTTTGAGATTCTTGCTTCTGGGTTTCAGGACCTGAATGTGCATGTTAGAAATGAGATGAGGCCTAACACTACAAGTTTAGGTGCTGGTTTTCAAGCAGCAGTCATAGAGGTGCCCTCATCGGTTCCTCTCTCCTTAGCATTGATTATCAAGTCATCTGTCACATGGGTCCTACTCCATTGTGTCTGATTCTCCAGCTGTCCATGTACCTATACATTTTTCTTAATAATGATCGGTAAGGAGGCAGTAGTAGTTATGCCTGTCTTTCTTAAAATCACCTTCTCAATTATGTCCAAATTGCAGAATCTACCTGAATATTCTGTAAGAAATTCAGTTCAGTTTTGGCCAATACGTTGCATGTGTCCCGTGCCTGGTTGATGTTCTTCAGCTTGTAGCTGGTGGACCACTAGTGTTTTAGGAGACAGGAATGAAAAATCTATACAGCATTTCCTGACAAAATTAAAATAATATATATATTCAAGAGAAAAAAAAAAAAACCACAACATAAATGTTGAGGGTTTAACCTAACTATTACTGGTTGTACATGAAAACGATCACAGCAAGACTGTCATGTGATCCTGGAATTGCTTTTCAAAGAGGTAAGATCATGCTTCGATGAGTAAATGTTGAAAAACACCATTTTAGGGAACAAGGGCTGATAGATTCGGAGCATGCAGTTTTAACCCTGACATTTAATGAACATTTTCCCTGCTGCACAGACTGGCATAAGGCAACTGAAATTTAAGTGCTTCTCCTCTACACAGAGGCCCTTAGTTTGTATCTGAGTCCCCCTGGAGCAGAAGGTATTTTCTTCATTAGAGGGCTGCTACTGTTTTGATACTTGGCTACCCTCTAAAGAAGTCACAGAAGAACTAGGATGTATTTGGCCTGGATGTAATATTGTGTTTTTAAAAACAGTCTCTAAATTGAAAATTCATGATCTCTATGTTTTTATATGTGTCCAATATTTATATATGCAAAATGCTTATGAATTCAAGTTATAATATATATTTGCAATTACAGTTTGTTGGGCTTTCAGATGTGTGGTTTTAAACCCATACACTTCTGTAAAAATATTTTAAGAGGCTGCTATGGATTCCCCATGGATGTGTGCACAACATCTATCTGCTGAAGGGAAATACTTTCTGATCTGGTGGAGATTCTGTTCTGATCCAAAGTTGTTCTAAGAAGTGGGGAAATAATAGTGGTCACAAACGGGTGATGAAGGGTCAGTTAAATTCACTGGCAAATTTAGAATATAGTTGAGATGAAATTAGCGAATCTTCCAGTTAGGACAAGAGAGTAGATGTGCAATGAAATATTGAGGGAATTTAATGAGGTATTCAGCAGGGATAAGTAAACCTCTGCCTCTTTAGGGACACAAACATTGCCCTTTGATGCAGAGATGGAATTTATGTTGAGTCCTAGCTGTATTTTATACAGAGAGCTATTTTGCTATAAAATTCTGGATGGAGAGGCATAATTGTAATGCTTACCATCAACTCTCCAGAGAAGTCACTAGAGCAGCCCTATAGGTTTGTGGCTGAACTCATCTCTGCTAAAGTGACACTGGCTGTGTGATGAAAGAAGCACATATCTTGGTCAACAGAGATAGCAGGCATTTGAATAACTGTGAAGTGTTATCAACTACTTCTATAGTAGTAAATTAATTATACCTGGGAATATTCCCAGGCAAAGAGACCAGCCAGCATAGAAGAGCTTGCATCTATGCAAGTAAAATATCATCCACTTTGAAAGAGGGTGGCTCTGTGCTGATGGCCAACTGAGATTAGGTCTTTGACTCTGGACTGTGCCCAGGAACGGCCGTGGAGAGCAGTAATTGCTGCAGGCCACAAAATGCTTGAACAGCTTACTAGTATAGAAGATCATGTTTCATGCTCAGTCACTATTTAATGCCCAGTCACTCTTGACTAATATTGATGAGGCCCTTGGTCCCTGAGCCTTTGTGCTATTTTGCAAGGTAGCAGTACCTGCAGGAGGAGATGAAGCTGGTGGTGGTTTCTTGGGATCTGGGGCTGAAAGGTTTCCTCTTTTTCCACACCTCTGATGTGCTATACCAGTGTGCAGGGTGAGCTGGGAGGGGAAAGGCTGCCTGGATCAACAGTGCAGTCAGCAGATAACACTATCATCACAGCTGCTTGCATGGCTCTGGAAACAAAAGGCACAAGGCAAGTGGCACGTTCGATATGGTGTTGCACTTTGCTTTACCTCCTTCCAGTCCTAGTACTTTTTTTTTTTTTTTTTTTTTTTTTCAGCATTCACCCACATTTATTTAATAAAGCTCTGTGTCTAACCCCAAATTGCAGACCACCCTGTAGTGAGGAGATGGAAACTACAGCAAGAGGCTTCAGGGTATGTATGGGAATATAAACCTGTGAAGACATTCTACAAGTTATTGCAATGGTACAGTAGGTCCACAGTCTAGGGTACAGAAAGTTTTGTAAGTAAAGGATTGCATAACCCCTTTTTCAATTGCACAACCCCTTTTTCAATATAAACCTTAAAAATCAATCATTTAAAAAGCATCTGATGCAGATGAGCTGATCCCCCAAGTTTTAAGCCAGGAAGTACAACAGGCAGCAGGAAATCAGTACAATGAATGCCATGACATCTCGCAGAACAGCAAGTGGTTTAATCACCTATTTCTTTTTCAAATTGCCATATGAAGTAGGCATGGTATCCTTTCTGCATATTCCAGTTTCCATTGCCCGAATTGTTCACTGAATGTGTTTTCTTATGGCTGGGGTTAAGGGCCCAGCGGTGTGCGGGGTCTACCCTGCAACAAAGCACCTACCAGCAACATAGTACCTGCAACTCTTGTTCTGGCTGGTGCATGCTTCAAATATTTGCACACAAATGAGTTTGGGGACATTGCCATCTGGGGAGCACCATTCTACTCGTGAACATCTCTGGCGTTGTGTGATTTCCAAGAGTGCAAGTGGGTGTTTGGTCAGTGCTGAGTTGTCTGGGTATAGATTGTTAAGTCACAGTGAAGGATGTCAATAACAGTGCCAAGAGGAACTGCTTCCCAGCCCTCACTGAAGAGGAAGAGGGTCTTGCTTCTCCCCCAGAGCCATGCCAGCTCTCAGAGAGAAGACCTGTTTTGGACCAGACCCATAGCCATGCTGTGACAAAGGGACATTGTGCATCCCCTGGGACAAATTACTTCAGCTGCTGCAGGGGAAGGATTTGCTGAGGCTTTCAGATAGGGAAGAGTGGGAACCTGTGCAACTCCCTTGGTGGCCCCCAAAACCCCCTTCTCTGAGTACCAGCTTTGCTTTCAAGCACAGTTTCTGAGGCCATCCAAGTGGTGGGCAGTGGTGTATGTGTTATCTTTCTGCCTTCTACTCCTGGATGCTTTTTATGTGAATGGAAAAGGACTTGGAAATATGTTGGGTATTTTTTATGATTTCCCTTAATTCCCATTGTCTGCAGATGTGGGCTTTTTCATTTGTTTTCTGTAACTCTAATTTGCCCCTGCACTTTAGTATCCAAAATATGAAATGTGATTCTAACTGACCAGCTCCTTACACTTGCAGTCACAGGAAGTCTATCTACCCCTGACAGTAACGCTGGCTTGTCTTTTATGCTAATATGCCGGCACTGTACGTCTGCACTGAAAGAGGAAAAAGCAAAGGCAGAGATCCCAAGGTATAGTACTCCTAAGGGTTATGAAGTTCTAGAAATAATGAAATGGATTATGCTTCCTCCTGGTGTAAGGCAGGGCACTGCTCCTCCAAGAAGAAAACTGATCATTTCGGGTTGGGGGTTGGGCTGACGTGAAGGCTATACCTAAAGCCTGCCTTCAGCAGACTCAGCATCACTGTCCTTGTGGTTCTTTCAGCTTTGCCAGCCCAAGAAGGAAGGGATTTGGCTCCTGATGCAGGAACAGAGGAGCAAATTATCTGTGGGTGGAAGTGAGCACAAGTGTGTTGGCTAGAAGTTCTGGCTATTTTCACCAGCTGAAAATTTGTCCCTGTGCTCTGCTCTACTCTATGTGGCAGGGAACTGGGCTATTGGCACAGCAAGGAGGGGTTGTGCAGAGGCTCAGTGACCATCTTAAGGGGATGAAAATTTATTTTTCTGGCTACAGCAGGGATCTCCAGGAGATGGAGCAGTAAGGCAATGATCCCCTGCTCCTGCTGACAGTGGCCCTTGTTCCTGTACAGAGATGTGTATATATATATATATATATATATATATATATATATATTATTTCTGGCAGAAGGCAAAAGCTTCTGCTAATTATGTTATATTTACAACCCCCAACTAACACTGATGTTGTGTTTCCTTCTGAAAGACAAATGCTGTCTCTCTTAAGCACTCTGTGTCCTGGCCAAAGAGTAATCATGTGAGGCAGCAGCAATGGGAGACCAAGGGGAACAAAGAGGAGACTGGCTCACAGAGCTCTTTCAAAGTAGTTGTTCACTTGGCCAAGGAGTTCGGCAGCTTGCCTGTGCCTTTTCTGAATCCAGTGTCTATCATACAGCCCC